CAGGGATTTGTTCTCTCCACTGGTTCCTCTGTCTCACACGAGCACTTCCAGGGCTATTTCTGCCTCAGCTCTGCACCTGGACTCTGTGCCTTATCCACCACTTCAGCTCCTGTGAGGAAACGGACTCTGCACATCCAGCCCTGCTGCACAAACATTTCTGTGTGTACCAAAAAACCTGTTTTCCTATTAAGGCACCTCTTTATGTGTTTTGCAGCAGAGCAGGCCCAGTGTGCAGAAAGAAGGCACAGCAGCAGCAGCAGGCAGAGTTTCCCAGCCCTGCTGAGCTTTTATGAGCACTGCCATAATGGCATTTCCAACACTTGGGCCGTGGCTGCAGCGACAGCTGACACTCCATCCATCACAACCTGCTCTCTGCTCAGGAAAGCTGCTTTATTTACTGCAGGTGATGGCCTCTGCATGGGACAAACTGCCTGGAAATTCAAATTTTGTCTGGGCAGCAGGCAGGCTGACACTGTGTTCATCCCTGGGGCTGGGCTCTCCTCCTGGTGCTGCCTTGGAATAGAATAAAATGAAGGGGTTTGGGTTGGAAAGGGACCTTAAGGATCATCTGCCATGGCCAGGGACATCTTCCACTGTCCCAGGTGGCTCCAAGCCCCAATGTCCAACCTTGGGCACTGCCAAGGATCCAGGGCCTGCCCACCCTCCCAAGCAACAATTCCTTATTCCCAATATCCTATCCATCCCTGCCCTCTGGCAGTGGGAGCCATTCCCTGTGTCCTGTCCCTCCATGCCTTGTCCCCAGTCCCTCTCCAGCTCTCCTGGAGCCCCTTTAGGGACTCTGAGCTCTCCCTGGAGCCTTCTCCTCTCCAGGTGAGCACCCCCAGCTCTCCCAGCCTGGCTCCAGAGCAGAGGGGCTCCAGCCCTTCGATCAACACCTTCTGCTGGCACACTTTCTGGAGTTCCAGAGCTTTCCTTGGGGGTCTTTGTCATCCCTGTGTCATTGTTTTGTGAGTAAGAAGAAAAGATTTCCTCCTCACCAAAAGAGCTGGGATTTTCCTGCTCAATCAGCACAATTTTCTCTCTTGCTGACTGCAGATGGGTGAGCCAAGGTGGCAGCTGGAGGGAGAAAAGCAGGAGGTGAACCGGAGGGAGATGAGGTAGAATCTCCCTGCTCAGGCACCCCTGGGACAAAGAGAAATGTGTGACGCCAAACCTGCCCATTCCCACACACAAAACAATGAAAATTTCTCTCTTCACCAGCTTAGCCAACTTTCCTCACCTTAAAAAGGATGGCAGGAAAGCTCTGGAGCTGCAGGGAGAGCTGGAGTGAGTGAAATGGGTGAAATGTTTGCTTGGGTGAGGTAATTTGTTCTCAGCTTCAGCCAAGAAATAGAGTTCAATTCCACAAAGCACAGCTGGGCTCCAAGCAGGACAAACACCTGTCCTGGAGATCTCCCAAAGACCCAAGAATCCAATACTGAGCAGAACTGCCCAGACCAGAGCTCAGTATCCCAAATTCCTGCTTTCCACACTTGCATTTCAGCAATGGTCTCTCAGTTCCAAACAGGAAAATGGACAGGGATTTTGGACAGGGAAATGTCACTCCTGTGCACCAAACCCAACCTTCTGAGCATCTCCTCATCTCCTCCGAGATTTTATTGTCATACAGAGGGTGATCAAACCTTTGAAAAACCTTTGAGGACGTGGTAAAGCCTTCTGCCCTCGTATGGCAGCCTGGCTAGATCCACCCATTTCCACCTTGAAAAAAAAGAAATTGAATGAAGAAAAGAAATTTAAAAGAATTCCCTGTGGGAAGAGGTTCCCTTTGCTTCACCCCAGCTCCACCAGGTCATGGAGCATCTGTTGGGAATGAAACCTTGGATTTGGAATCCATCCATCCATCCATCCATCCATCCATCCATCCATCCATCCATCCAGGAGCCTCTGGAGATGACCTGAAGGATCCCTTGGGCCTGGCCAGCACAGCTCCCTTCCCTTTGACATCCTGGGATCCCTGCTGGGATTTCATGGCACAGGATCTTTCCTTGGGCCCCACTTGGCTCCTCCAAGGTGTGATTTCCTCCCCTGGATCATCACTGGGCACACCCTGGTTCTGCTTTCAGGCTGTTTTCCCTTGCATTCTCCCCTTCCCTCTTGCTGGAGCTCTTTTCCCATCTGCAAACTCCAGGTGATGCTCCAAAATTCCAAAATCCAGGTGATGCTCCAAAACTCCAAAACTCCACATGATGCTCCAAAACTCCAAAATCCAGGTGATGCTCCAAAGCTCCAGAACTCCAAAATCCAGATAATGCTTCAAAACTCCAAAATCCAGGTGATGCTCCAAAACTCCAAAGTCCAGGTAATGCTCCAAACTCCAGGTGATGCTCCAAAACTACTCCAAAATCCAGATAATGCTCCAAACTCCAGGTGATGCTCCAAAACTACTCCAAAATCCAGGTGATGCTCCAAAGCTCCAAAACTCCAAAATCCAGATAATGCTTCAAAACTCCAAAATCCAGGTGACGCTCCAAAAACTCCAAAGTCCAGGTAATGCTTCAAAACTCGAGGTGATGCTCCAAAACTCCAAAATCCAGATAATGCTCCAAAAC